GGGGAACAGCTGCTGTAGAATATTTCTGGGGGTGAAAAAGAAAAGCAAGATTGCAGGAGGTTACCAGAAGCAGGATTTCTCACTCTAATGGCGCAATGGGTTTCAGCAATAGTTTCCTTATGTTGCTTCAAGGGGCACCCTACTGCACCCAGGGACAGAGAACTGCTGTCCAACCTTCACACCTGGGAGAGACAAGTCATGGCACTGGGCCCCTTCAGAAGTGGCATGAGCTGCCACGCTCAGCACAGCCCCCCAAACTCTGCTCAGTCACCCCAGAGAGCAAGGCCCAGGGCAGAGCCAGCGGTGACACCGGCACCCCCACCCCACCAGAAGGGCAAACAGATGACAGCAATCTGCAGGAACTGCCAAGGCCAGACAAGTCGTGGCACCGGGCCCCTTTTGAAGCAGCATGAGCCACTACACTCAGCACAGGCCCCAAACTCTGCTCAGTCCCCCCACAGAGCAAGGCCCAGGGCAGAGCCAGCGGTGACACCGGCACCCCCACCCCACCAGAAGGGCAAACAGATGACAGCAATCTGCAGGAACTGCCAAGGCCTGGATTCACAGGGGATGCCAAGAGGTGAAAAGGACTCACGAGCTCACACGTTCTCTGTCTGGAAGCTATTTTTCAAGTCCTGGAGAGACAAGCAAGGGCAAAGCCCAGCTGTGCTATGGATATGGAAATCCCACCCTGGAGCCATTGGCAGCCCGGAGCCCAGGCCCCAGCATACCAGAGGTCACACACTGGTCCTTGGCCACATGTGGCAAGTGCTGTCCTGCAGCCCCTGTGCAACTGGTCTCAGCCCCAAGAAAGCTGTCAGTGCTGATCACCCTATGGGGCCCAGTCCAACCAAAGTGCCAGTATTACAATACTTAGCAGGAGGACTGTTTGGCTTCATATTACACAGCTCAGACCAGATCAGGGCTCACACTGTACCCAGGCCACTTTCAGTGTCAAGCCAAGATGAAGTTCTTCTCATCTGTCAATCAGTTGGACTCTTCAGCCACCAAAAAGGGGCAAGGTCTGCAGTGAGACATCCAAACGTTGGCACATTTTTTATCTTCTGTACTGGCCTCTTCCATCCTAGCATCCTAAAGCATTTTAAATAATGCATTAAGTCTCTATAGGACAACAATTTGGGTATTATCTGCTCACACACGCAGGCAAACCACAGCAGAAAGTTTTCACAACTTGCTCAAAACTACCTAGTGACTTCATAGCATAACTAGAAATATACCCACCTACCCAAACTCTCTGCCTTGTACTTTATAACACTGCTTTCCTTACCAGGCACGTGTCCACACAGAAATGAGTACTATTTGGATTGCTCATCGTGCTGAGCCAAAGCCTCTCCCCTCCAAGAGAGATCTCTCATGATACTTCTCCCTGCAAATGCTACAATGACTTCTCAAGCTGCTGAAAACAGATTTCAAAGGAGCTCCAGGCAGTCCCACTAAACAGAGCAGGAAGATGGACCATTTATTTCCTCTCTATCTGTTTACACAACATGCCAAGACCAATTAGTCTCATCCCTTGGGAAAGAGCTCAACAGCCCCAATGAGTCTTTGTGACACCCTGGACTTCCATACACCTCAGCTGACCCTTGCATCCCCTGGTACCTTCACCTCAAGCCATCAGAAGAAGTCTCTGTTCTCCTTGACCTCATCCTCTTAGCACTGCCAAACAAACCCAGATCTGTTGAAGTTAACAGGGTGGCAGCAGCCACAGTCTTCCTAGGACATGCACAACCTTCATTAAACAGCAAGCGGCTGGCAGCAGGACCTGCATTTAATGACACTGCTGTCCAAGGACAATGATCAAGGGGTGGCTGGGAGAGGGCATTCACTGCAGCAACATGGGTGTCTGCACAAGCCAGGGTATTTCCACCCAATTAAGGGAAAGAAAGGAAGAAGTCTTCCGAGCTAATTTTCTAGTCCTTTGGAGGAGTGAAAAAAGCACGCATTGAATTGCCCTCACTCAGCCACAATAGGGAAGAGGCTGGGTGGCCAGCAGACCAGCCAGCCAGGGTGGAAAATACACCAGCCAACTGTCCAAAACTCATGGCCAGAGTACAAATGGGTAGAATCACACTGCCCTGTGAGGCTGGAATGTCACGGCCTGGCACCCAACCAGCACCTTCTCAACCTGCTCCTGTGTAGCCTCTACTGTTGAGGAAGGCTAAACTGAAAGGCCCTGATGATGGAGATCTCCATTTATCCACAGAGCCACGGGGGCAGAAGCACAGGAATTCCTTAACCCCTTAAAAGCAACCAGATTGATTCAACCCACCTGTCTCTCCCAATCTGCACCCCATCCTTACCGAAGGAAGCGCTGAATCACTGGAAACACAGGGAGACATTTAGACACCACATGCCACTGATCTATGGCCTTCCTGAAAAAAATGCTTTTTCTGTTCAATCCTACAAACAGCTTAAGCATCCCCATGCAGAGCTGCTCCACACCACAAGTCTCTGGGCCAATCTTCCACCACTGTCCAGTGCAAACAGGATTTGATGCAAAGGCAAAGCACTCAGCGTTTCTTCATCGACCCTTGAGTAACCCACACCACATCATGCATCTGCAGTGTCTTCTTGTCTCAGGACAAATTTGCTTCTGGCACAAATTCATCTTGCCTGACACTCTGTTATCCCTTAGCTCCACAGAGCTACAGGAATGAGAAGTAAGGCTCAGGGACAAGAGTGAAATCCATATCTGCTGCTCAAAAAAAGTTTCCATCTGATTAAACTTTCATGCCATACTCTCATGGGCTAGCACATGATAGTAAGGGCAAGAACAGCAAAATAAGAATGACTTGATGTTCAGAGGCCAGATGAACCCTTAGGAGTAGCCTGTTTAACATCATTGTTCATTTGCATTGTTTACCTGACAAAAAAAATATGCTGCCAAGTGCTGCCCAGACAATCAATAAGAGCAATTTTTGTTGGAGAACACAAACTGACCAAGGAAGATAGACCCTAGTCCCACTTTACAGGTGGGGAATAGAGGTATCAAATGAGACTTGTCCAGGTTCATACAAGGATTTTGTGACAGAACTCAAAATAAAACCCAGATTTCAGATCACTGTCATAAGCAATGAGATCACTGATAAGCTGGTAAACTAATGGAAACCCAAATGTCAGTAAAAGAGAATCTACAACATTATTGTAATTTGTCATGATTTTTGTAGCAAAACCAAGTCCAGGTAGCAAGCAAGAAGCCATCATATATCTTTGAGATGTTACTGCTTCAAAATTAACCAATTACAGCTACGAAAATAATACAAGTGACCACTGCTGCAATATTCAGTCTGCATCTCACTTTGCATGTTTCCCCCACTCCTCAAAAAATTACACTTTTAAATTAAACCATTAGCTGAATATCCCCTCTTTGTAACAGGGATTCCACAATCTAGAAGTCTTAATGACATCTACAGTAAACAAATGCTATTTAAGAAAACCACATGCCAACCTCCACTCCAGATTTCAACTTCTTTTGCAAAAAATCTTTGCCACAATTAATCCAGAAGTGTAGAGAGCAGACAGATCAGGAAGCAAACTGTTCTTACAGGGTTTCCCCCCCAAAAAAAACACAACAGTTTGGAAAGTTTATTTTAATTAGTCCCTAATATTCCTCAACACACTCTCAAACATGGGAAAGGAACCTGAAGCAGAGCAGATAGGTGCTGTGCCTGGGATCCAAATGAGAAAAAGCACCTGGGCCAAAAGGAACATTTCTCCTTTACTCACATGCACTCTGAAAAAGAGAAGAATGGGCCCAGGCTTACCAGCTTTCTTCTCCTCTCATTAGGATGTAAAACTAATTAAAGTCTGTCAGTATCAGTAGAAGATTTGGGTGATGTGAAATGCAAGACTGGGTCTTTTGAATGTTCTGTGAGCAGAAACTTGGCTGGAAGGGCAAAGAGGGGGTGAGGAAAACTGTACTGAGACCACAAGTCTCTGCATTATGTATTCACGGGACGTACGCTGTCAGCAGGACTGAGAACAAGCAGTGGTGTAAGGGGGAAATGGAGGGGTCTCACTTTTCTAGATCTTGGAAAATAAATACATAGTCCTCTCTTTTAGTGGGTCCATCTTGTAGGCTTAAAGGGGGTGTTGTTAAGTGAGGTTAAAACTAGTCCCTCAAACCACCCAGAGGCAGTGAAATTCTTCCCTAATGAGAGGAAATTTGGCACTGAAAATAACTGTCTTTAACTTACTGCAATTTAACAGGGTCAGGAGATGTCTGTAGATACTCTTTCAAACTGACACTCCACCAGTGCAAGAAAAACAAACAATGAAGAGTGAGGCAAAATCCTAACCCTACAGCAATGCCTTCTAAAAGAGAGGCACCAGACAGGCGCTGTGCAGAGCAGCCCACCCCGCCAGGACCAAGCATGTCCCCTTTCCCAGCCTCTGCAGAGATAAGACAAACTCTCAGCACTTACACACCTCAACCCCAGGCCCCTGCAAAAGCAAGAAAGGCAGAAAGGCAAAAAGCACTGTGCTACATTGCTGTAAAAATCTTAGGAGGCATAAAGAGTCCTGGGCCCAAGGAGGTCAAAAAGTGTGGAAATATCTATCACCAAAGCTACAATCACTTTCATCACGAAGGTTATTTCTTCATACACCCCTAAGCAATTATTTTATTTTGGAGTAAATGGTATGGGTCAGATCATGGCAGCAGAGGTAATGTGACAAAAGTGAACTTGTGATTTTGTTCCTGTACCATGCAATGAACCAAAGAGTAAGGGTGCTGCCTTCCCAACAGGGGTAGCAAGAGGCATGCCCAACTGTAGCAAAAGCCACTTGAGTAGCAGCAGCTTTACTTCTGAAGAGAGGTATCTACACTTAGGCCTAAAACACACAGCAGAAGTACCAGTTATGCCCCTGAAGAAGTAACCCTATGAATTTACTGAATCCTGTCTCAAACTTCTCCCATCTTTGCTTACAACACCTTCTCTCAAGCGATGCTGCTTTCCTCCTATCAAGCTCTACCTTACCTGCTGCATTTTTTCCAGGTCAAGGCTGGGCCTGCTGACCTTATCCCCACACCCTTGTCGATGTCTCTTACAAGGCATGACTTGCTCCAGGCCTGCCCCCACGCTTGTGAAGATTAAAGGTCTGGAGGCCGGGCTCCGCACCACGGGCTGGAGTCTCTTGGGAGGGGAGGCACTGAAGAGCACGGGGCTCGGGCTGGCGTGCAGGCCGTCGCCCTGCTCTGCCACGGGCCGGGAGGACATGGTGCACAAGTTCTTCACTTCTTCGTCGCTGGAGGAGGTGTTGTTGCTGTCAGTGCAGCAGGTGAGCCTGCTGACCTGGGACCACTTGCGCTTCTCGGCGGCGAACTCTCGGTTGATGCGCTCCAGCTCCTCCTCCGAGCTGTGGCGGTCAAGGCTGGCATGGAAGAGAGCCCGAACCTTGCAGCATGGGTTCTCCTGGTTCTGGAGCTGGTTGGTGGCAAGAGGGGTCAAGGTGCAATTCCGTCTTCTCTCTGGTGGGAGAAAGAGACAGGAGAGGGGCAGTGCAGAGCTGTGTCTCGCACCCTAGTAAACTGGGCCTGCTTTCTCCTGACCCATTTCATCTCCTTCCAAGTAAACTTCGGAGACATTTTCCCACCTTTCCTTCCCTAGAAACACCTCTCCTGCCAAAGGCTTCCCTCTGGAAGTTTCCAGACTTCTGTTTTGGCCCAACTGCTAGACATCCTCTCACAAACTGTCACGTGGAAGTCTAGTTGCAGAGGAAGAACACAGACCCGCCTCTCATCTCATTCCCTAGGTGTGGAGATGATGTGATCTTACAAATACATTGTTAGACACTTGCCTCTAGCTAATAGTTCTAAGTTCCAGTGACCAGTTCTCATGGCAGAGGAGGCAAGTGATGATTACTAAGCAGCATGTCTGTGGCTCAACTAATAGAGGTGTGTTTTCTGGAAGTAAAAGTCCTCTTCCCATTACAAGGCTTGTCATAGAAGTGAGCCTGCCTTCAGCCATAAGCTGGGCACACTTCACCTGTTCTGCTGAGCTCTTTCTGTGTTAAGCACATGAAGCAGGACTTTGAGTTTTGACAGAACGTGTCCTGTGGGTCAGGAATTTAACTTCTGCCTTTGTCTTTGAATCTGACTAAAGAACGATAAAACACAGGGTGTGCACAAATGGCAGAAACAGCACAGTTCAGATGTGTTTACACCAGATTTCACCTGCTGCATGTCAGGTCCAAAAACAATAGCAGAGCACCCATCTCTCCTCTATTAAAGACCCTCAGCTAAATCCAAGAATAAGGCTGCCCAACACCAACAGTGCAGGAGGAAGTGAGAGAGTTAATCAGACAATGAGTCCAAGGGAATGAGGAAAGTGAAGGTCCAAAACTCAAAGTGGCAAAGACAAGGAAACCTAAAACAAAAATTATGCAGGTGCACAAGCCTGGAATAGAAGATGAATTTTTAGTCCTAGCTCTGCTGCTGGCCCATTATGGGCCTTCTCTGTCTGCACGTCTGCAGGACTGTGGCCTTAACATGTGGTAAATAATGTCTGTGGCTGTCACGAAAAGTGTGACTGCAGCATCTGCTAACACTGGCTTCTCCCTGTGAGGTCCCAAAGACTTCCAGGTGACTGAGTTAATGCATCTGGTTGTGGCACACTGGGGACAGAGAAGGAGGCACTTTCAAGAGCACAAGTGAAAAGCAAAATGGACTACAGCTGCAGCATCCCAGGACCCTCGTATCTCATCCCTTTACCTCTGTCGATCTGAGCAAGTTCCTGGTTCTCTCCCTCAGAGTCATCACTGTCCTCATCACTTGGGGGGTAGGAGATCTAGGGGGCAAGAAGAAAAAGGGTTTCATTGTGAACACTGAACGTCGCCCTGCTACTACCCAAGCTGCTTCCCCCACCCTCCCCCTCTCACATCCTGCAGGCATCCACCTCACCCAGCCACACACACCAGCCGTAGCACCTCCCTGCATACACATCCTCATCTCCCATCACAACCTCTTACTTGTGGCAACACAAAACACACAACCTGCCACCATCTCCACCTCACTGCACCACCAACTCCTTCCCAAGCACAACGAACATACTCTGCCCTTAGCTTCCCAGACACACAGCTTATAATCATCATGGTCTACCACATCCACATCACGTGGACAACCGAATCTCCAAAACCCACCACCAAAATAAACACATATCCTGTCAACAGCACTATCATCTTGCAAGGCACCCACAAATGGAAGGGGCATGTTAACTTTAACCATCCTGTGTGTGTACCCACACTTCCCCCTTGAAGGTGCACACACACAAGCCATCAAAGAACAAACTCATCTTGCTTTCCTACAGGACAACTCTGGAGTATGCAATATAAATAAAAGAAAGGGGTTTTCACACAAATTAATATTATGTAGTCCCTGCCAGCACAGAATCTTACAGTACCACCAAACACCCTTAAATGTTTCAAGAGTAATGACAATTCACATAGTTTCTCTCTCAGGAATTTTAAGGAACATTGCTCTAGGTCAGTCAACAGACTTCACCAAACCACTTGCTGTCTATCGAAATACCCAAAACATGCTCTGACACTGAACAAACTTGATCCTGGGAAAGGTTCACAGATCTGACTGAACCAAGCTGTTTTAGGTTCAGATCCCACTGCTGCTGAGTTTCCTGCACAGAGGAAGCCCTACCTATCTTGCTCCTAAAGTGACTTTTGTTCTGCTGTATAGAGCATGCCTGGAAGTTACAAGGTCACATCTCTGAGCTACGCAACTTCAAACGTGTCTCTGGCAATCACCAAAACCAAACGAGCCAAAGGAAAACAAGTAAGAGAAAGTTCTGGAATAACATGATCACTGCAGTATGAGCTTTATTATTCCTTACACCTTTTCATTCAGAATAACAACAAACATTCCCATCATTCTTAGCTGGGTCTCACAAGCTACTTGCCCAAAAAAAGAATTCAGTGGTGATAGGTTTCAACAGTATACATGGTGAATTTCCATTTTTAAAGTGTCTGACGTGCTGTGCTTGAATTTTACAGAAGATGGAGCAGCATGCAACCATTACACTGATATGGACCAATTTCATCTCCACCACTGTTCCCACAGAAACATCCTTGGAGTGTTTTAGCTGCACAGAAACCCAAAAGAGCAACTACACTTAACTGGATGCCTATGAAAACCACCTACAGCTGATGCAGAGGAAAAAGAATAGTGGAGAAGTTCTGGCCAATACTGACAGCTGTTAAGACAACATACCTATTTTGTGACCATCCTCCAAGGATTGTGTTTGGAGGTTTTTTTCCCCCAGAAGCCTGTTGCCAGCTTTTTCCTCCTCCTGTTTTAAAGCTACCTTACCCCCTTCTATTTCATATCACCTTTTAAGAAATAAAAAAACATATACTTCCCTTGCTAATCTTTAAACTAGTTTTCCCAGCTGTCAAATGATGAATGGGGAAAGCAGCACAGACTTATCCCCATTGCTGATATTCTTGAAGTAAATGGAGGGGGTTGTTTTTCCCACCACAACTACGATTTTCTTGAACGTATTCAGACACATGCATCATTTAATAAAGGCAGCTGGCACTGAGGAGCACTGCCAAGTTAACAGACTTGTAGTTGTCCCTACAACAGGTATAATACCTTGTTTGTGCCATGGCAGTTCACAGAGGGGACAGCTGGCACTGAGGTGCCATTGTGCTAGCTGCTGTACAGACAGACAGTGGTCCTGTCTTCATTACAAAAGCCAAGGCTCCAATTCTAACTCGAGAGGTATCGACCTTAGTCTGTGGCTCATTCCCACATAAGAACCTTTCATTTGGAGGCAGCAGGGTTTTCACTGAGGGTCAGC